CCAAGCAGAAATTAACAGAAAATTTGCTCAGTTTCCATTTTACTAGAAAGTGTCAAGAAATCCACAAATCCATGCATCTTGATTAGCAATGATATGGAAGTAGTTTTCTACTGCTTCATCTAAGATGTTTTTTTGACCTCTCAGCCTTTCCTACAGCTCTAATATCAGTTCAAAGATTAATCAGGGCCAGCCCTGCTTAACTTTTGAATCCAGCCAAAGTTGGTCAGGTACTGCCATCTGCTGAGTCAATTTTTATTATATATAAATTAAACAAACTTATACATCAATACTTGCATTTTTGAACACATTTTGTGTACTTGGCCTATTTTAAAAAGTTCATGTGTTTCAGGAAAATGAGCACAAAATACATTGTGGAAAGTACTTATTAAAACAAAAAACAAAAAACAACCCACGTGCACACAAAAATATGCATAATATAAATAATGAGTGCCAAAAAAATAATAGAGTGTGAATAATGTCTACAAAAATATGTATGACTTAAGAACAAAAACAAAAAGCAAACCAAGGCAGAAAAAAAGCTAGTATAAACTTAAGAGCGGCAGTGTTTGTGGGGAGGTGGGGTGGGGGTGGTAGGTGAGTGTCAAAAAAGTCAAGATGGCAGTTGTTGGAGCACAATCAAAGCTTCATCCCTTTGAAGGTGGGAGCGATGCTAACACATCCACGAAAGGGCAGAGCTTTGATTGCACTTCCATAACTACCACTCTTGACTTTTTTTTTACCCCACTTGTGAAAGCCACTGCTTGAGGTTTGAAAGCAGAAACAGTGAAATTAAGCCTGTCAGATTTCTCCATGTGTGCTCCTGAGAACACTGCAAACCCCCCGCAACACTTCTCCAGAAATTAGAGGGGATTCTCATTTCTAGAAAATGTGCAGCCACCTTGGAGAAAAGAAAGACCTTGGTTGAGGCAGAGGCACTGCTTTTATTCTGTTTCAAGGTCATGTCCTGGCAGGAGATGGTCCCCTAACCACCTTTCTTTTAACAATGGTTCAATGGCTGATCCCAGTTAGCTCTGAGGCATCATTTCGGCAGTGCACGTCTTTAAACGCTTAACAACATCCACATGTTATGATGTTTCTTGGCTTTTATTCTTTTCCTTGGATGTGTTTCGAAAAGATTTTGGCTCCGTAAATCAAGTAGTTATCTCAAGCCATCAAGTTTTTTTTTAAAACTTCCTTATTAATTTTGGCTTTTTGCCCTCATTGCAACAGAGTTAACCTTTAAAAAAATGATACCATTTATTTTCCCAAATTGTATTTCTGACTGAAAAACAATGTCACTGTTTTATTCAGCTATATTAGCATATTTTATGTATTCTGGTGATTTAAGGAATGAAGTACACAGCTAATAGGCATGTAACGAATCTTAGTTTTTGCCTGAAGTGGTGGAAGAATGTTTAATAATTTAATGTGCAGGACTACGGCTCAGTGGTGGTATCCGTATTACATTTTTAGATAAGACTGAGGCCATCTCTGCCCGAAGGGCTGGTGAAGCCCCCAGTCTGACTGGGTTCACTCATCGTATTAAACCATAGCTAACTATAGCTAACTGAATAAGCCATAACTGGCTGGATTCGCAAAGTACAGCATGCCATTAACTATGGTTTACAATTCACAAGGGTTGATTAAAACCACACTGTATGCATTTACTTAGTTTAGCATGTGAATCCAGCCTCTGTATAAATCAGGAATAGATTATCTTTTGGGACTGAAGGAGAATTTGGAATCTTAAAACACTCTGAAAAACATTCATTTATGAGAAGACAAACAGTGAAGTTGCCCTTTGTCTGTCTGGAATTTTTCTGGGCAGGTTGACTAATTTGCAACCAAAGCTTGCATTCATCCATGTTGGGGTTCTACGTTAGTGTGGAAGGGCTTCTGTTGCTTTTTCCCCATTTAGCATTGCCGCCCCATTAAGACTTCAGGCCATACTCTTCCATATAATGAATAGTTCACTGGAAAGAACATAACTATGCAAGAAATAGATCAGGCCAGTAGCTAATTTAGATTCCCACACTTTGAGCTCTGGCAGATAACCTAGATAATTCCTAGAAAGAATTAGTCATTCTGAGAACCTGTGCTCTTCAATAGACCAGGGTTCTTGACATTTATGTCTTTCACTGATGTGTATAAAACTGAACATTTAAGCAAAGAGCTGACTTTGGATTGTTTCCATGTTTTTCAACATATAGAAAAAGTGCACATTAATTTCTGCCAGGAAAATTTCATGGACATGTTGATGAAGACAGCGAAGTCAAGAGGAACTCATAGGACACTTTAAAAAAAATGAAATGTGCAATGAAATATGGACATCTTGAATATCATCTTCAGATCACATGCCAGCATAAAGGTTCTCACAAGTCTTTTTTATTTATTTATTTATTTGTTTGTTTGTTTGTTTGTTTATACTTTTATGACTCAGGTGCCTGGAGTTCATCCTCCTGTTGAAAGAGATTCCAAACAAAAGCCAAAGGTCAGATTTAGCCTATCCAATGCAGCACTTTTGGGAACCATTTGCCAAAGATAGGAGTACAGTAGCTTAATGTTTGAATATCCTTCTTTCTGCTGAAACTCAAAGACAATTTAAAGCTCCTGGTTTAGGGCTCAGAAAGACCACTTCTTCCTGTGCTGATGTTTGAGTGTAGGAATTTGCTCTTTCCTTATAGCTAATTTTTTTAAAAATCATAATTATTTTACAATTGCTGTATTAATGAACGAGTGGTGATTGTATTAGGATCATAACAGGGAATCTGAATATTGACCCAGTAAGTAGAAACAAAAGAATAAGGAGCGTTCAATGCCCCACCACCGACACAGTGGCACAAACTGAGTCATGTTCCCACTGAGAAGCAGCAGTCTCTAATATTTAGAATCCCCTTTCTCTATTAGGTAGCTTTAACGGGCCACTGAGGGGAAAGTGAAACAGCTTGAAGGCAGCTGTATGCACAAAAAGCATTGATCTTTTGCACTTGCTTACAATATATCTGGTCATTTGAGATAGGAACGTAGAGGCGTTTATGAATCCCAAATAATTTCCTTGAAGCAAGATGAGCAAAGGGAGGAGCAAGGAAGGAGAACGTGCCTGCTTGTGGTCCTACACATGAGTTTTCATCCAGGTCATGAAGAGTACAAATGGCAAGGTTATGATGCAGACGGTAAAAAGAAGTTGAGGTATACATTCTCTTGTTCATTGCCTGAATCAGTATGGCAAAGAAAGAAAATGTATTTCTTCATTTGGCCCAAGGTTCAGTTAGCTTCTTTTAAAATATAGTGCAAATAGATGTTTCTGTTGCATTGTCACATCTCTTTGTAAGAAACTTTGCAATTATTGGGTTAGGTCAAAATTCAGTATTTTCATTTCCCTATTTTTCACTTACCTTCACTTGATTTCTGGCCTAACAAGTATGAATTGTGTGCTAATATAAAACAAAGTACAAAGGGTGTATTTCAGTACAAATACTGAAAAACAGTGATAAAACCTACTCTGAGTATTTTTGTACAAAACAGTACAAAGTATACTGTTTATTGAGAATAAACTCAGTTTATACAACATTCATTACATATACATGATATATTATAAAACAGATTTAATGAATCATTATCTAATTCTTGTGGTCTAATTTTTCATTAAAGGTTTATTGACTTGGGTTAATCAGCTAAAAAGTTATTATTAAATTGTAAGAAAAAAAATATGAAAATGCTTGCATATCTCAGTATTTGTTGTTCTTAATTATCTGACTTCAGTCTTCAGCAGAAATTGACCTTACGCTGACTTAAATTTCAAGGCCATGCAATAAGCAGGAGAAATCACAGTGGAACAAAATAAGATTTCTTTGGCGAGCCAGAAACATGTGTGTGTGTGTTTGTGTGTGTGTGTGTGTAACAAAGTTTCTAGATTCTGTTTCACAAAATTGAAAGATTCACATTATACACTATATAAAACAGAATATAAATAGTGAAAAAAGGAACTTTATAGAAAACCAGGAAATATACACATTTTTAAAAGTGATATTTTTTTATGAGAGACTACGACAGATCAAAATAATCAGGCACAGCCTGCTTTTTCTGAGCAATTTCACATTTCATAAAACTGGTTGAAATTATTTCAATTCATGGAGTATTTTAGCAAGAGTGTGTGCAGCAAAATCCAAAGATAAAGATTGTGATATACTCATTCTAATTCAATGCCAGCCCAACCACCATAAGACCACTGTTTCAAAGAATGATAGTTCAGATTTTCCCCACAATTTAATTTAGTTTAAATTAATTTAATGAGTTTAATTTCTGCTCATCAATACAATGGGGGATTCATCCACTGTGTTACTGTGTGTTTTCATTATAGCATTATGAATGCATTAATTCAGCTAAATGATACTATATAGGAATTATACCATATACAGAAGACACTCACCAAACTAGAATTAGCTCTTATAAATCTATACTGCTTGAGATTGCGTTCAAAGGAAATATTTCCTACAAAAAACTGATGTACAAAGCTATGCATTGATCCAGGTCCAGTTTGTTGACCATACACATAGAATCTACTCATAACTTTTCTGAAGATTTTGGAAGCTGTAAAGACAAGCTAGATGGGTGAAAATGCAGTCTTATATTGGATAGGTTTCACAATAAATATCATCAGAGATTTTAAAAGCATTCTTTTCTATAGCTATTATCCTACTAGACTGCGTGAGGATGAGTATTGAAGAAAAGATAATTCCTCTCTTCCTCACTTGAATGTACTATGAAGAAAAAACGTACAATATGTTTATGGGCACATAATTATTTTTCAAAGGCAAAGACTGGGATTGTATACAAGTCATACACCTATCGCTCATCTTACCACAAACAAATGATCTGATTTATTAGATTTTTTTCCCCTCAAGTAGAAATACATTTGAAGCCAACTCTTGTTCTTCCTAATGCACCAGATGAGTTTGACAGCTGTCAAGATAGAAAGAACATCCAATAAATTATATCTGTATGGCTTACTTCATTTATTTATGTACGCTTCACAGCTGCAGCATTCATACACAAACATTCATTACTTTATAAAAAGATTAAAAATGGTTATATAGATTTTATATACAAAATTATTTACTTTTTTTAAATTTTATTTTACAAAACGTAGGTCTATATATCTCCATCTTAAAATGCAGAGAGCTGTAACATAGACCCATGATTAGTGTTGGAAAAGCTGTATTTTTAAAAAATGTCCCTGGTTGAGAATTAATGTATTAGCCTTTATTACTATTATTATTAATATTAATCCTACAGGCCCTCCTTGTCAACTTTTCTTTAAGAGTCCTCAAGTCCTTCTTGATCAGTACCAAAGCTGGAAAGGACAAAAGTCAAGTTCCATATTGCAGTCATTTCTTCCAAGTTTTCATGCTCCTTGTGAAAGCTTTTCATTCCATAGATTCTACGGCCCTCCATTAGGAAATAGCTATGTTTCTTAAGCAAAATACTACTTTCACAGTACATCTTCAGCTTGTAATAGCTGCTTCTCCCATGTTTACAAAATGAGAGCAGATAACAATTTAAAATTATTTCCAGCCTTGTGAAGTACCTCCAAGACAAGCAACATAAATGATTAAAGATCTCTGAAGCCAAATGGTCATAAATAAGCCTGAACTTAGTTTGACATCTCATTGTATATACAGTTTTTTTTTTTAAAATACAACACACTTAAACACTATTAAATCATCTTATTTACATTATCATTGGTGCTAAAATGGAAGAGTTTAATTACTACAGGTGCTGGGGTAAAGAATCAAATAATCCCTCACCAATGACATATAGAAATTAACATACTAGATAGGCTGGAAATGGTTCCCTTTTCAATATTTTCATTTGTAGCCATCACTGATATGTGTTGTAAGTACTCAGGTCCATAAGCATTCCAAAATGCTGAGTAATCCTTTTTTTTTTTTTTTTTTTTTTTAAGGCACAGTAAATTAGGGCATTCTGGCATGGCAAATGTCCCACTTTCACCAGAGTGGGTTCAGCGCCTTGAATCCTGCCATGTCCTGATCCAACGATGAAAATGTTTTGATGAATTTAATGAGTTTACCTTTCCTGGTGAAGAATTTTTATAATAATATTTCTTAGAATAAGTCCTTTGGAATGAGGATGCTGAAAATAAAAGAAAAAAAGAAAAGCTTTGTAAATGTGCTAACAGAAGTATAAGCAGGAGGAAGGAATGCAATGTGTAATATATACAATCAGATTCAGACATTGTCTACTGTCCTATAGTCTCTTCCAATAGTAATAGTAACTTTTCTCCTCCTAAGCATCAAATCATTCAGTTGCCCAATTCACCCAATTCTTTTAACTCATAAAATAAAGAGATTGAATAAAGGAAGTTCAGTGGTCAGATAGCCATATAGAGTAACGACTGAAGATACTTTATGGGAAAGAACAGAAAAGTTGTCTTTCCTTCATCTTGTGGAAACTTTCACCAGGATGGTAAATGTCTGATTTAAACATAATCAATCACATTTTCCTTCATATAATCTACTCACGATTCATGCAAGTAATTTTAGGTAAATCCCATCGTCCATTTCCTTGGCATCTGATTATTGGAACATGGCGCTGGATGAAACCATCTTTACAGTGGTATCTGATCAATGAGTTAATTTCATAACGGGGCTTCATCTTTCCAAAAGTCTTTGCATTTTCTACCACTGGGGGCTGACCACAGGCAACTGAAATTACAAATTACAACTTTTATAAATTGTATATTTTTTTTTATATCAATCAAGCTCAACCTTCACTTCATCAAGCCCAGCTACTCATCTATCTATGGATTTTCGGCCCATAGATTTTAATGAGCCTGATTACAAGAAATCTATAAACATTAAACCAATCATAAAACTAGAAACTATGGAAAAATATATCCTCAGGTTTAAGTGCATTTTTTGTACAATTCCAGTATAAATTGTTTGATTTTTTTTGGGGGGGGGGGTTCGTATTGTTTCACTAGAAAACAACTAGTTTAGAAACTTTTTAGAAAGTTTCTAAAAAGCTGCATTGGATATATTATACTGCATTACATTACATATTTGAATATAGCTAGTACTTCACTCTACTGTAAAGATTGTTATTTGCCACATTATACAAACGATTAACTGCTCATACATATCTATACTCCACTACCACATGAAACTTCCACTAATTAGCCCAATGTACAAGCAATTCAGGAATTCAAAAAAAATTACTTAATGGTGCTGATATAGCACCTCCAGTGGCCAAAATACAGTATATGAATATATAATGGTTCCAGGTTTTGGTAGGGAAGCTAGGATAAATTGCTCAATGTGTATCACATGTGCTTATATCGAATGTCATATGCCATTTCAATACATATTCCTTCAGGCTGGAAAAATAACAGAGCTCTTTGATATTCCTTTATGTTATGAGCACACTAAATAATTTGGTGTCATCAACAAACTTGGCTATCAGCTTCTCAGCTTTAAATGATTTATGAAGACATAGTGTTTCTTGGCCAGGCTTATTCCTCATCACATCTTCCACCATTACACCTTTCAGTTGCACATAGACCATTCTTTTTCTCCATTTTCTGTTCTTTAAGCAACAAAGGAACCATAAGTTATTTCCATGATTACTATGTTGACCCAAACTGGTGAATAATTTTGCTCAAAATCTTTTGAAATTTCAAGTAAACAATGTTCACATGCTTACTTAACTGTAAGAATTGGAAAAGGTTGGTAAGGCAAAGCTTAGTTTTATAGAACCCAGGTTGATTCTTCTTCAGGAAAATCTTTTTATCTTTAATAATGCTTTCCATCAATTTACTTATAATAGAAATTTAACTAGCTATGTTTTTCTGACTCCTCCTTATCCATTCCAATCTTCTGGTACAGAAACCAATTCTAATTACATTACTTTTTAAAAACAAGGTAAGTAATTTCATATTTATATTCTTTAAGAGCTCTTGGGTGGGTAATCTAAGTTCCTATATCTATTCTTTTTCACAGTGCTGCCAGAGCTCAACTTGTAACAAGTTGCCTGCTCTTCAAACATCAAAATCTTGCAGTCATACATTTGCTGAAACTTTAAAAGCAACAGTGCAACATTTATTGTATAGATCTAAACTGGAATTCTTTACCTGTTCCTTTCTTGCATGTGTAAGTAAGGTGATAATTGCATGGTACATCATTCCACTGACCATTTTCATGCCAAATTATAACAACACAGTCTTCTCCAGAAGAAAAGAAACTATCTGGCTGCTTTGGTCTCCAGTTTTCATATTGCTGCAGAAGACAAAAAACAAAACATCAGAATGTGAACCCTGACAAAGTTTATATTTGAATAAAATAAACTGAGCCACAGGAAGTCAGACTGAGAATGTTGTAAATATTCAGAAGGGAATATTTAGGTCTGCTACAGACATACTTTTTAATCATTTAAAGGAGAGGCTGAAAATCACTTTTACCACAATAGAAGGAGAATGTAATCCTTTCTATTCCTGTTAAGTCAAAATTAACTTAATCAACCACTGCTGATATTGAAAAGCAAAGAAGAGCTTGTCCTAGATAATACTTTCATGAGACCTCAGATAAAACCCCAGGCTGCTAGGTTAAACTGGGAGCCAGAAAAGCAAGCTACAGTGGATGGCTTTCAGATTGTTGCCAGTAAAACATGGACATGCCCATAAAAACTACCAAAATTTGAGTGGACTCAAGGGAGAGTCTACATTTCTCTATTTAAGCTACTGAACATTATCTTTAAACATAATGGGAGTCCTCCCACTGGCATCAAGAGCAGCTTTACTCCCAATGCAAAATGCAGCTCCAAAGGAAGAGTTTATTTTAGTAACCCAGGATCAGAGAGATTATTCCCATTTGCTGCCAGTCCTCCTAAAATAGATAGGTAGCTACCTAATTTAAAAAGTAAAGTCCTTAAATACAAAAATTAACTCTTTAAATTAAAGCAGTTTTCAAATCAGTACATTTTAGGTTTGATTTATTAGGCTTTTGGTTTTTAAGCATTTGAGATTTTTGCCTTCATCTTTTCAAGTCTTTTCTATGAAATGATAATATAGTTACAGCAAAATAAATGTAGATTCTCCAGGTTCTTATCAAGACAAATCTGCCACGAATGGCCACATAAACATGCTGTACTATCTTGTTTATAATGTTAAAATACTAAAGTTTAACCCTACCCCGCTCCATCCCCAAAAAAGAGTTTGCCTTACAAAAGTAACCCCTTCATAATTCTGGTTGGGTGCATATTTCCAGATAATGTTCTTGACTTTTACTCTAATAGTTATCAAGAGCCTTTCTTAATGGCAGAGCTGCAGTATATTATTTTTGCCTTGATTCTTCTTTTAAGAAAAATGATCAGGAAAGGAAATAAAGAAAAGGAATTCTGGGGAATTCTGGGAGTTGAAGTCCACTCATCTTAAAGTGGCCAAGTTTGGACAACACTGTCTTAGGATGTTGTATTTTTTTCCTTTACTACTTGAAATTAATGGAGATAAAAATAAATTTCAAGCAAAGCAACCATCTCTATAAATGCCAGGCACTTATCTACCAACCCATCCCATAAATGGATAAAATGACAAGGATTTCAAGTGCTTTTATTTCATTTCAGGGCTTATGACTTGGAGTTGTTCCATTTACGCACTTGTAAAAGGTTCAAATTGTTTTAATTCTTTATATAGTAAGCCAAACACAGCATTTTTCTAAGTACATTTTTTAATAAAGTTAATGACCTAAATGTGCTCTTTACTTACTGGAACCACCAAACATCTTTACGTATACATATTCCTTGTTTATGTTCTTTTTTCCAACACTAAATCAGCTTATCAATTACAGTGTTTTAATTATCTAAGCAAGTTAATTGCGGCATTCTAATTTGGGACACATTAAGCTTATTGCCAGTGCCAGGTAATAAACCACTGTAAAAAGATCAAGCTGTTTTCTCCAAGACTTGATCAAACCTCAGGCTGACTGGGCTTTGAAGTTGCAGCTGAACACCCTGGAAGACACTAGATTTGGAAAGGCTGGTTTACAGCTGTATCCATTTGCTACTTATGTGGTTCTTTGAGTTCATAGCATTTAATGACACATTACTTCATATTGCAAATCTTGTTCAGGACTGAGTTCTAGTTGTTTCTTTTAAGATAGAGCTACCCATTTATTTTTCAGGTTCTTTGCTTGACTTGCATTCTCTATATTTTTAGCTCAACCTCAGCTTTAGCTCAAGAGAGCTAAATCATTGTCTCCCACAGAGTTATCTCCAAGGTATGATTTTCTTCAGACCCATATAAACTGTATTAGAGTGAGCATCTAACAGTGTTTCTCAACCTTGGCAACTTTCAGATGTGTGGATTTCAACTCCCAGAATTCCCCAGCCAGCAAGGCTCTAACATCATGTTTCTAAGAGTAGTCAGTCCCACTGCTTCAAATAAATTTTCATCCCAGATATACTATCTCTAAGCAGGAAGGATTCATCAGCAGAACAACCCTAAGTAGAGCTGTGGACAATTAAAAGGGCAGACCATCACTAACAAAACCTTGGCATTTTGTGTCAGTCAGAAGGGGCATCTGCGTGACTTTTCATTTTCTTTCTGCTTTCATAACAATATAATATCAATAACAATTCAGCGGCATGAGATGTGCCTATGTAATACCACTACTTTATAAGCTGCCCTTGCTTCCTACAGGTATCCAAATACAATTCAAGGTGCCGATTATCACATATACAGGAGGAAACATATCAACTCTGGTTTACTTGGAATAGACAAGAGGTCCAATTCAGGGGCCCCCTGAGTGCCAACTCCATATTCCCAGAATGCAGCATTTTGTAGTTTACTACTGACAGAAACAACAGCAGCAGATGTTGTTGCTCATTGAGTTAACAAGATGTCATTGTAGTAAATGTGGCTTCCAATATAGGAACTTTGTTCCACTATCAGGAAAAGAAAAACTTTTAAAATAGGAAGCTTATCCACATCCCACCCCTTTTGTTTAGTTTTATAGTCTGTTGCTTCCAATTCTTCCTGACCTGGCATCATTTTGCCAGGGTTATCTTTTCAATGATTCTTGTCTTCACATTTTGTGTCCAAAATATTTAAGCTTTATTTTTTTTCTTCCTCCAGTGAGAAGTTTGGTTTTCCTTCTTATAGCACTGAAGGATTTGTTCTTCCTGTAGTCCGTGGTATTCTGAATGCTCTTCTCCAGCATCACTATCCACAGGCATCAATTTTCTGATCGTCCAGCTTTCCCAGCTATATATTACAATTGGGAAGACATCATCTTGACAGTACATATCTTTGTATCAGTATGACATGTCTGCACTTCAGAATTTTGTCTGAATCTGTCACAGTTTTTCTCACAAGTACCAGTATCTTTATTTCACTTTCTCTTGGAATTTTTGAGCTTAGAAATATATCACTTCCTAGGCCTAAGATACCACTTCAGTTTCATCTCCACTTATGTGTGTTGATTGGTAGTTTTGCCTGTTGACTGACTGACTGATTGATATATACAGCAGACTAGTTCTTGCATTCTTTCATCAAGAGATTCCTTAAGTTTTTTTTGTTTCCAACCATCAAAGTGGTATCATCAGCATATCTGAGGTTATAGATGCTCTTCCCAGGAATTTTATGTATTCTATATATAAGTTAAATTAATAAGGTCATATTATATAACCTTAGCACACTTCCTTCCAAATGCTGAACAATTTAGTTGCTTGTACATCCTATAGCTCGCATTCTGTATATTGTTGAAGTCTGGATTCTAACATAAGGAGCATTTTCTTACTAGAATGTGACATTAGAGCAATTGTTTGATAGTTTCAGCATTCCTTAATGTACTCCTTTTTTTGTACTGGGGTACAAACTGATATTGCCCAGCGTTTTCTATACCTGCTTACAAACCACACTTTTGTGGCACTTCATTATCTTGTAAAGTTTTAAATAATTCTGTTGGGTTTTCATTAATTCCTGCAATTCTGCTGTTAGTATTTTTTAGGGTTCATTTAATTCACTTTCAGAATGTTGGTATCAAACCTCCTTTATAGTCCATACTATCCAAAATTTAGGGAACAGCTGAAAAAAGTGGTAAGATACTGATTTACTGTATATTATTTCAACCATACCTTTCCAGTTGCACAAATTGCTTTGGTTGTGGAACTGTGTTGACTGTATTTATGAAGTGGGGTTTGTGTAAAGGCCTGAAGTACTATAACATTTAAGTTCCAGGCATATCTCAGAGAGTACTTTGCAGAAATGCTATAGCACAACAAGCATAGTGAAGCTGGCAAAGCTTTCCAAAAAACATTGCCTCATATTTGACATCATCACTATGCACATTTGCTTTGGCTTTCTAATTCTCACACTGCTCTTACTAATGCCAGACCCACTTAATACAGGCTCCTTAACTGCTTTCTTAACTCCTCACCCTTGATACAAACTACTTTTTTTCTTACCTTATTTGGGCAAATAAGCTTCAAAAACAGTTACTTCAGCTTCAAGTAGAGCATGGTATAATACAAATTCATTCAATATTTTAAAATATGGGCCAAGTCTTTGTGAGAGAACTAGATCTGATTCTCTTTTTATAAGTAAAAATGAAAATCAAATTTACTGACAGAGACCAATTTGTTGAAGGATCTGCGCATACCAGGTAGGAAGATTGTAAGCAACAGTAACAATCCATATAAACCCAGCTTTTAAATTCTCCCACTGTCTGAGAAATAGATCACACAAGATAATGTGAGGAAAATGAAGAGAGGTGAATAACATTCTTTGATGACAAGATAGCATCTCTTAAACTGCAGAGCTGCAATCCTGCCACATGACAAGTCTGGGTTTGATTAAAGAAAAAAAAAAGTACAAATGCAATACAAAATCTATGGTGTTAAAGTCAGCTTGCATTTAATTGGGGTTGCTACCAAGCAATATGAAAAGCAAAAGATCCTATATTCATAACTCTGTTCCTAAGTCTTTCTGAAGGCATAGATACTGTGACAACAGTAGGCAAAGTAGAAATGGATAGTTTCCATGGATTGTCCAAAACAAAGTAAAAATGAATGCCCCACAATCTGTTAATTACTTCATTCAATGAGTCAAAATATCTATAGATGTGTGGAAACTCAAATCAGCTATTCCACATTCATTACAAATTTGACTCAGGTCTTCTCAACCCTGACATAACTGTTAAAAGTATCAGTCATGCACCAATGCACCAGCAGCTAAAAACATTAGGACCTCTTGCATTATTCTAATTATTTAAAATATTGTTAT